TGACCTGGAAGCCACCTCCCCTGAAGGCTAGCTCTCATAGCTTTGGAGATCACTATGCAAGGATCACTGTTAGGGGAGAACATCAGTCAGTGGTCTAACCCCACCTTCAGGGCCTAAAATCCACATCAGTGACCAGCATAGCAAACGGCATTGGTGCAGTAGTGGCACTTTTATCTTGGGGGTAATCAACAGCTACCTAATTGGACTTAAAGCCCACTCAATGGGAGGAAACTCATATGTGATACTGTAAACCTAGCCAAATATACATAGCTGGAGAGGTCATAGATCTTAAGAGAAACTCCAAGGCTATCACATCCCTGGACAAATGTAATTTCTTACTATGTGCAAAATATGGATCCTTAAATCTATAGACAAGTATCCCAGTCACCAACCATCAAAGAAGCTTCTTTTTCAAGAGACAGAAATAGTTACAGAGTTCCACAACTGGTCACACACAGAGATTGTCTGTGAATTGCCCAAGCCTAAGTGCCACATCTAGGATATAACCTCTACACCTGAGGCTCATGGAACATAGAACAGGGGATGAGGAGAACATTAATGCATCGTTCAGTTGTCATCAATGAAGCTCCCTCATGCAACAGAGGGCCAGGAAATCAGAAGGTCACAAATGGCCAAAACTCAGAGAATAAGAGTCTCCAGAGTGTGGGTCCTTGGACAGGACTCCTGTATTAAAATCCACACCCACCCAAAACTCAGGGATCATTGTGGGAGAGGGGGCGGAAAGATTGTAAGTGCCAGGGAGGCGGTGCATGACCATATGGAAATAGTCCTAAAGGCTCCTGGGATTCTTCTCATACGAACCTACATCAATGGTGTCGGCATACACAAAACCTATGAAAAGTTAAGGAGACAAAAACCCAGCACAGAGCTGTGGAAATGAACAGCAGGCCCCAATCTTAGTCGAAGAATTATTGGCAGCTGATTACTGCTGGGTGAGAAAGAGCCGATCTTCTTAAAGGGAGGGACTCTAGATAGGCTGACTAGATCCCAGTGGATGAACTTGCACTGAAGGAACATCTGGGGACACTAACTTTACATGATAGGCCTTAACACAAATGACAAAATGTATGAACTCCAGTGGGGGTGTTATGGGATAGTGCCAAAGGGGAAGGAGGTATAAAGATGACTTTCTATATGAAATACACAAAAATTTAATATGAGCATATGTATGTGAGTGTGTGTGTGTGGAGAGAATTTTGTCTAAGTCCTTTGAATCCTTTCTCAAGATATAACACATTTTCAATGAAAAGTAAGTCCTTACATGGACAATGTACACATGTGATTCCAGAAGGGGCTGTTACTTTACTGGGAAATCTGAATTTCAAATTATGATTTTCATGAGTGAAATTCAGTTTCATTTAGTATTTCTATACATTGTAGCTTTTTGTAAGTACTAGTAAACTGTATTTTTTATTTTTAAAAAGATAATATAATTAAATTTCATCAAAAATAAAGGCTTTTGTGCAGGAAAAGCCTTTAGGAAAAGGGAAACACAAACCAAAGATGGAGAGAATGTAACAGACTATGTGTCTAAAAAAGGAGTTGTATGTGGAACTTGATGAGAGCTCCTATAACTCAGTAGTAAAATACATTCCAGAACATTTTAATAACTATTTTACCGAAGAAGGTATTTAATTGAAAAATAGTACATTAGAATATACTCAACAGTATTCCTTGTTAGGGAGTTTGAAGCCATAACAAGATGCTGTATCACTAGAGTGGCGGCAAAAGACAGCAAAAGGCAGTTGAGCACTGATGAGGGCCAGAAAAACTCACTCATGTTGCATGGTCTGTGGGAATGTAAAGTGAGACAGTCACTTTGAAAACTACTTTGCATTTTCCTTGTGAATTAAAAGCATAAATTTGCTGTCCAGTGAAGCAGTCTTAAAGAGAAATGAAAACATTCATACAATAACCCAGAGTGTATTCATGTTTATAACAGCCCCAAACTGGAAACAAGCCGGTGCTCATCAGGTGGTGAGTGAATAAATGTGGCATATCTGCACCATAGACTATTTCTACATTGTTCTACAGTGTAAAGGAACCCTGAAAACAATGAGCTAAGATGCACAGAATTGCATATTGTTTGATTCCATTTATATGAAATGTCCAGAAAGGGCAACTCTGTAGAGACAAGGTGGGCATGGGAAGTGACTTCAAACAGGCATAAGGGTTCTTTTCTGGTGGTGGAAATGCCACAATCTGGGTTGTAGTGATGTTTTTATAACTCTGGAAATTGATTTAACATTATTGAACTTACACTTGAAGCACCCTGTCAGGTAGGTGGTAACCTCTTCCTGTTGAGAATATTGAGGCTCTGCAGGCCTAAGTTGTCAGCTCAGGGTTGCTCAAGAAAATTAAGTTGCCAATAATTCTTGTCATGATGGAGGTATACAGATTTGAGCATGACTCCTGGGTGGGAGGCTTGGTTAAAGATTATGTTGACATTTTGTCATAGTGCTTCCATGACATTCAAATTGGAGATATCTAGAAAGTGGATACAATATTTGAGGGGAAGGGGTCCCCTAAATATCTGAATAGTTTCTGAAGACATCACTAGCCTAAATTATGTTCACTAATTTGGCTGGAATTTTCTTTGTAAGCCTATGGAACCCAATGAGATGCTGATTGATAGCATTTATTCAGTGGAAAGTATAATGAACATTTAAGCCTTTTGACCTCAAGATTTGTTTTATGAAAATTGGTAATTTCAGTTTCAGAGATTAGTTATGTAATATTAGGTTATATAAGATGGGAAATTGGTCAAGAAAAGATTGAAAGTACATTGAAAATATTTAGCTAAAGAAGAGAAATAAGACATTTGTCTTCCTCTAAAACAAGGGCCAGCTCTTAGAAGAGGATGCAACTAGAGGAATGCTTATAGATCTGCCAAACATGGGAGCCGCCACAGCCCCAGGTGCTCAGGAACAGGATTGGTACAGTCGATTTAGAACTCAAGAGTAATGAAAGGCAGTAGGATGAAGAATGCCCACAAGGATGCCATTGTGTTTAGTTAGAAGCAGCTATAATATTGGGCAGCAGAGAGTGGAATTCTTAGTGTTGCTAGTACAGGCCAGAAGGCAGCTTCAGTATAGATTCTGGAAAGACAAAGCTGCTTAAGTTTGTGATCAGGTTGTTACCACAGTCAAGAGTCTTCTGCAGCAAGAGCTATCTTTTTATCTAAGGTACTTCTGTGGGTCATACTCAAATGTTTGAGAGATTTCTTTGGTTGGGCTGTTGTTTTTTTAATACATTGAAAGTCTTGCAACATCTCAGCACTATATTGAAATTTTATAGGGTTGTTTTTGTTTTGCTTTTGTCTTTGAGTTCTCAGTAGTAAGAAATACTATTTGGGTTCTGCTTTCTACATAGCTATGGTTAATTATAACCTAGAATATGCAGAGTTTCACGAAATTAAGTTCTGGCTGCCTTTAGACAACCTGTTTTTGTAGTAGGTAGCATTTACTGGTACCTGGAATTAGAGGGCCTGTTCGTATGTTTTATGTTAGTAGATAGCCTCAGAATTATATAGCTCATTGGGTCTTTTAGAATCTTTTACTTTGTTGAAGGATGACCTTCCTATGAGAGCCTCATGGACCATTCTTACTTTAGATAGAGTGGCCACGTTCTTTATGGTACCTTTGCCTCTAGAATCCAACTCACCAACTTCCACACATACATTAAATCTATGGTTTCCACTGGCATTCAGTAACTACATATGGCTTTTGAGCACTTAAAACATAGCTAGTTCAAATTAAGGTGTGCTGTACTTATAATATGTGTACTAGTCTCAAATCTGTAGACAAATGACTCATGAATAATTTATAACATTGAATTAATCTTGAACTTTTGGACATAGTTGGATAAAATTGAATATATAATTGAAATTATTTTATCTCTTCACTGTTTGTAATGGGACTATTAGAAAATTTAAATTACACATGTATTTTATTTATGTTGGACAATGCTGGTCTAAAACAATCATTGTGAATGTGTTTTAATACTCTTAATGCCAATTAGTCATTTATACCTAAATATTTTCTGATCATAAAAAGAAATGCTGGATGTGGTGGTACACACCTTTAATACCTACCTGGGAAGCAAAGTCAGGCTGATCCCTATGAGTGTGAGGCCAGCCTGGTCTACATAGTGAGACACCATCTGAGAGAGAGAGATCAATCCAGGCATCTTTGATTTTAAGATGTCTTATGTAGTAATTTTTTTAAGTGCTGGGGATTTAACCCAAGGACTTCTACAAGCTGGGCAAGCCTCTACCACTGAGCCACACCTTCAGCTATATTTTTATGAATCGTGTAGAGAGTTTTTCTTTGAAGAACATGTAACTTTAGTTTTTCTTTGTTGTTTTTCTTTTTCTATGGAAACTCAGGAGATTTCTGAATTAAAGGGGGCTTTCCCAAAGCTTTCTCTTTTTGCCTTTTCTTGCCCTTGGCTGTTGGAGCCCATAGTTAAATCTCTTGATTCTTTCATTTGCTTTTCTGTTGTTTTTTAAGATTTATTTTATTAATTATTTTTTATCTTGTGTGAGTATGCACATGTGTGCTGGTGCTCATGAGGGCCAGAAGAGGGCATCAGATCCCCTGGAGCTGGAATTATGGCAGCTGTGAACTGTCCAACATGGGTGCTGGGAGACAAACTCAGGTCCTCTGTAAAATTAGTAAATAAACAGCTGAGCCGTCTCTCCAGCCCCATTTGCTTTTTTGAATAGGAAATTGGTAATGGTTAAAAACTGTTTCTTTTAGAGTTGTGTTACTGCTCTTGTCACTTAAGGTAGGACTCATAGCTTTGACTTTAAAATGTATTGTGGTTAGTTTCCTTAGAAACGCTAAACTAGGTTAATTTTTAAAAACAAATTAAGGATTATTGGATAGTAAGGTAATTCTGGAGTACTACTGAATGAAGCAACCAGTTTTCCAAAACCATTCATGGAAGGTCATTTTCTAATCCAGTTCTCCTTTCAGGCACTACAGATACCACCTCCAACAACACAGCCACCGTGATTTCCACAGCACCCCCTGCTTCCTCAGCAGTCACATCCCCCTCATTGAGTCCCTCTCCTTCTGCCTCCACCTCCACCTCTGAGGCATCGAGTGCCAGTGAGACCAGCACAACACAAACCACCTCCACTCCTCTGTCCTCCCCTCTTGGGGCCAGCCAGGTGATGGTAACAGCATCAGGCTTACAAACAGCAGCAGCTGCTGCTCTCCAAGGAGCTGCACAGTTGCCAGCAAATGCCAGTCTTGCCGCCATGGCTGCTGCTGCCGGACTCAACCCAGGCCTGATGGCACCCTCACAGTTTGCAGCTGGGTAAGGAGCTTTCTCATTCCATTTGCATCCAAAATGCAACTAGGAACTCATCATCTTTAAAATTATTCTTAGGGAAGACTTCTTCACCACTTTAAATGTCAGATCTGAATCTGGCTGTTACAAAGCTATGGAAAAAGACCTTGATTATAGAGTTGAACTTAAGTTTCTTAATAGTCATATTGTTACTTCCACATGAAGACACAGAACTTCAGACCCTGAGTAAATCAATGATAGAGACAGGATAAAAGTTCAGTTCCTCTTATTTGTAAGCTTTCATTAAACTGTAGCTGTCTACTTTCTAATTCTCTAACATGGATAAGACTTAGAGTAAGGAGATTCCTGCATTTCATATATATAAAATACCTTTTATGTGTTCTCTGAGAATTTCATGCATGTATGTGATGTATTTTGGTCATGCCCACCCGTCATACCCCATCTACACTGGACTTGACTGGCTTGATCTTGTACAGGGCATGGGTAGGTAACCATGGCTATTGTGCATTCATGAGTGCAACCATTCCGAGTCCAGAAGACAGCATTCCACAGCACTCCTCCCCATCCTCCAGCTCTTAACATTCTTTCCACTCCCTCTTCTGTGTTGTTCTCTGAGCCTTGGAGGTGAAGGGGTTGATAGAGATGTCCTATTTTATGGCTGCACACTCAACAGCCACTTACTCTAGCTACAAGTCTGGATTAAACATTGTCCACCACAAAAAGAAACATCTCTGACCAAGGTTGAGAACAGCAGTTTCACAGTATAACCATTTAGCAAAACAACAAGTAGCCCCCACTCCCACCCTAGGGCCTATGACCTCCCCAACCATGGGCTTTCAACCAGGTTTACAGTACCCGGCATGAATTCCCTCCTGTGGAGCAGGCCTTAAATCCAATCAGAAATTAGTTGCTTACCACCAGAACAGTTGTGCCACTATTATACCAGTAGACATATTTTGCCTGGCAGGTCAACATTGTAGCATTCAGGATCCTGCACTGGGAAAGACCATCTTTTCTGCCCCCAGCTGCCTGCATACATAACACCTTTCAACATTATAAAAGCTAGCCAGCAGAGAGGAAGTTTCCTGGTCAGGTCCAGATTGATTTTTTTTCCTATGTCTTGCAACTAAAGCACATGTCTTCAGCAGTAGGTCTTAACCATCTAGTAATGGTGAGCAACCAAGAGCAATGCCAGTAGCCTGTGTTGTTTGGGGCACCCGTAGCTTGTAGGGAAGTACCCCATGCCTGACACTGAGGTTTTTAATAACCCTTGTCTTGTGGGAACAGCATTGCCCACCCATGCAAGATGCCTTTGTTCAGACTACTTTTATTTTTTTAGTTATGGCTTTTTAATTAGCTTCCATCAATTTTCATACACCCGTAGTTTCTGTTAACCTACCTTCTCTTTCCTACCCCACTGCTCCATCCTTGCTTAAATCTTTAACCCCCCTTCTTTCATATTATTGCATTCTACTATTCCCTCCCCCATTAAGGTCTCTTCTTCTCCCCCCATCTCATGGGCCTTTTCAGGCCTTATGACCTCTGCAATACTCCATGTAAAACATACAAATCTCAGGATTCAAAGCTAGGATCCACATATGAAAGAGAACATGCAGCTTTTGTCTTTCTGGACCTGGGTATTTCACTTAGTATGTTTTCCAGTTCTGTCCATTTACCTGCAAATTTCATAATTCCATTTTTCTTTATAGCTGAGTAAATTCCATTATGTATATGTACCGCATTTTCATTATCCATTCATCAGGTGATAGTCATCTAGGCTGATTCCATTTCCTAGCTATTGCAAATAGAGCAGCAGTGCACAGCTGATTTTATATTATTATTTTCAAATATATGAAATTATCCTTTACCTATAAATGAAGTAATTCTAAGCAAAGTCAAAATGATGAAAAGTTTTTATTTTATGCAGATCATAACCTTGTTTGTTGAAGTAAGCATCAAGGAAGCAGTAACTCAGAAGCACTTACCAAACCAAATAAAAATATGCAGAAAATAACAAAAGTTCACACATACGTCCCTTGCTGACATTTTCTTAGCACTTTGGGTATGTTGTCAACATGGTAGTAACTCCTCTTTTCAATTTGCAGAGGTGCCTTACTCAGTCTCAATCCAGGGACTCTGGGTGGTGCTCTCAGCCCAGCCCTGATGAGCAACAGTACACTGGCAACCATTCAAGGTCAGTAGCATCTTCTTGCTTGCTGTGTGTGTGTGTGTGTGTGTGTGTGTGTGTGTATAAGTAATACTTAGCCTTGCAGTGCCCGTGTAGGCCAGAAGAGGGTGTTGGATCTCCTGGAACTGTAGTTACAGATGGTTGTTAGCTGCCACGTGGGTGTTGGGAACTGAACCTGGATCTTCTGTAAGAGCAGCCAGTGCTCTGAACCACTGAGCCATCTCTCCAGCCCCTAAATGTCATTCTTAAATGGTGATTGACGACTGTAAGAAGACACCAAGGGGGCTTACATACCCTACCCACTGGGCCTGATAGGTATTAGGGCCGAAACTGGGTTTAACATGTCTCTCTGCAACTCTGGCTCTCACATTCTCTGGTCCTGTAAGGGCAGTTAAGACAACACTGTGTAAACAATAGGGAAAGTACAACGGACTTTCAGACTACAACACGGCGTCTACTAATAACTGTCCTTGTGCAAACAAGGAATTTGCACTTGGTGTTTTTAGCTTCTCAACCACAGACCTGAGAAGTGAGGCATTCTGTGAAGTGTTCGTGTCTTTTAGCACTCAGCCTCTGCCTCCTTAGGGAATTTTCCAGGTCTACGAAAATGCTAGAGCCCTGCTTCATCTAGAACGGATGCCGAGGAAGCATGCTGCTTTGGCTGGTATAAAATCTGGAGATCTTTGTCAAGCTTCTTCATTTTGTATCTTGTCTCCTTGGTGGAACAGCATGTATCTCTGATCGTCTCCACGAACAGCCTAGCTTCTTGCGGAAGCACATTAGTTTGCTGACTCTGAAGCTTCCGAAAGGATGCAGTGAATTCTACAGAAAGAGAGGATAGCATCCAATCATCTGCCCTGCTGTTGCTGAGTTCTTCTTGCCGACCTCTAAAAGTCAGATGAAACCCTCCACCATTATCAATTTCTACTGTGTGTATAAGTAATACTTAGCCTCTGGAAAAATTAAAATCATGCCTTTTCTTTATTTGATAATATATAAATTTTCTTATAACTGAAGCTTTTTGGAAAGATGGCTTTCATTTTATATAATTTTTTATAAGTAATAGCAGTTGGAATTGATAAGAGCTAAGTATGTTTTTAACATTTTAATCACTTTAGCTTGTTTGTCTTTTGAATGGTAGTAGTTTTAAATCAGTTTTCATTGAAGACAGAATTATTGGATTTAACAAATACTTGTAGGTGTAAATTGTTATAAACTTGAGATTTAAAGATAGTCCCTTCTCCATGTGTTAACTGCCCTTCAATATCTTCCTTCCTTTGGCTCACTGTCCACTATGTTCATGAGGGGTTTTCTACATTTTGCACTGAGCTTGTCATTATCTGGGGGCAGTTGGTCAGTCTCATAGGAGTTATTTCAGCTTCCATTGCTAGAAAAGGAACTTGGTCTCAGACTTTGACCTGTCAAGTTATTGTGTGATCTTGAAACTAACCTCTTATACTTTAGTTTAATCATCTGAAAAATGGGAATAATACCTATGTTATGAGGCTGTTATGAAGTTGGAATAAATATATTTATACCAAGAACTTACAGTTGTTTCTAGCATAGAATAACTGTCCCATGTTACTCTTGTTGATACTTTTTATGAGTTCAGTCTTCATAGTTTGTATGTATGAAGTAACTGGAATCCTGGTCCCTAGCTGGGCCACACAGATACTGTATATTTGCATTCAGAAAATGTCAGCTTTGCAAATTATATTATTATGCAAATATATTGCCATATTTATAATATTTTTATTATTTTATATGCTACAACTATATATTTCCATGATTTTTTATTTCTTGAGAAACAGTTGAGAAGGCAGGACAGATTTTATTAAAAGTAGTCAAGAATGAAAAAAAAAAGAAACATGACTGATAGTTCTCATGACTCTCCCTTTTAGTTTTCCTTGCTTCTACTCATTAAATTGAATTTTTTTTTCAGTCCTCTAGACTCTTCAGAATTATAAACAAACTTGAGTTGGTGTCAGAACAGCACTGTAATTGAAAGGAAAGAAATCATTAAAGAGATAGACTCTGCTACTGAGTTTTAGGGAACCTCAGCAGACTTTTGATGATGTGTTATTTGGCTTCTCCAGGATGATGTTTTAACATTCTCCTTCCTGTTTTGGGAGGGTTGTCTATAGCTCTTGCTTCTAGTGGATCTCTACCAATAACGTCACTGGATGCAACTGGGAACCTGGTATTTGCCAATGCGGGAGGAGCCCCCAACATCGTGACTGCCCCTCTGTTCCTGAACCCTCAGAACCTCTCACTGCTCACCAGCAACCCAGTTAGTTTGGTTTCTGCTGCTGCAGCCTCCACAGGGAACTCCGCACCTGCAGCCAGCCTTCATGCCTCTTCCACCTCAGCTGAATCCATCCAGAACTCTCTCTTCACAGTGGCCTCTGCCAGTGGGGCTGCTTCCACCACCACCACCGCCTCCAAGGCACAGTGAGCTGCGTGCAGAGCTGGGCTGCCATGAGCCTTTATCACTGCATTGTGATGGGGCTGCCAGCTGTTTAATAAACTGAAAAATGTGATTGGCTTCCTCTCGCCATGTTGCAAGGGCAAGGGAGACCAGGAGAGAAGAGAAAATACACATACCAGAAAAAAAAAGGAACAGGACAACATTTGCCTAATTTTATAATAAAACAACGTCTTTTCAGGATTGCTTCATGGATTGGAGAACTTTCTAACCAAAAATTTAAAAGAAAAAAAAAAAAAAAAACAGAAACAAAAAAATCAAAAACAGACAAAAATAAGTGAAAGGACTACTTATCATTTCCAGCAGTCGTGATGACAAGTTAAGGTGGGTTACCAATTCCAATATAGGAAGGGGATTTCTTGTTTGTTCTTTTTTTTCTTAAAAAAAAAAATCATTTTTATGGGTCTGTTGTACAGGCCATTAAGTTCATAACAAGGTGTTTATAATCGTATCAATTGTGTTGGGGGTTCCTTTCTTAACTGGTACAATTTAGGCAGGCCTGTATTACTGTATCTCTGTTACTGTT